GCTAACCAAGTCACATCAAACTCTGAAATGACATCAAACTCTGAAATGACAGCTAACATTTTTCAGCTGTTTTTGCATTGACATATATATCCATATTATTGATGCTGCTGCATGATTTCCCTGGTCAGAAAAATGGCTAGCTGACATCCGACACTGTTAGCTTTCTATGGCAAGGGGAAGATCGAATTAATATTTTGCAACATTGTTGCCGAGGTCTGAGTGGCAACCATCAAGGTTCATACAAACCTGTGCTCTTGCAAACTAGCTATAAGCAAGAGGAAATAATGTGTTTAATAAAAGCATACACTATTAGATAAAAAAGGGGTTCTAAATAGAAACTTTTGGTCAATTCAAAAAGTAACTGCCATTCCGATTCAAAAGTTGAAAGTTATTAGAATTTGAAAAAGCTAGGCTAATTTTATTGCCACTTTACAAGCTAGCCAGCTAACTTTTTCAAATAAATATGATTTTTTATTATGCGATAGGCCAAATAGATCTACAGACCCAGCCTGACATTGTCAATTAGCTAATTGTTACTTTAATTTCCGTATTTCAGTGTGGAGTCAATCGAGGGGACTAATCCCCTAGATTGACGCCATTAGAAGACTAATGCTGACTGAGAGGAGGTATGTATAAATTATTTATAATAAATTATGTATAATAATTATTGGTGATTCAATAACCTAGTTAACACCCTAGAGTCAATTGAGGCACCCCATCAAAATCTCTCAGTTTTGGATGCATCTCAATCCACCACATCCGCCAATGTTGCACTTCTGCATCTGCGGTGAAAGGTGGCAGAGCTAGAGTAATGGTCTGACAAACATGAAACATTCAGAAAATTGGTCTTATCCCGAAAACCTCTGCAGTATCCGAACGGTTTGACTTCATCTGAAGGTAACCTGTACCGACTAAAAAAAATAATGGAAGTATGAAGGTAGTTTTGTGCCTACCCAAAAAAGGGGGCAGAGGATCTCTCTTTTAGCTGCTGCTGAAAACAAGTTGTTCTTCTACTACATCATAATAATTATGTCTGCATAGCGTTTTGTCTTCATTTTGGCAGATTAACTCCTGCTTATTTCTGAAGATTAACTCATATTTTTGCTACGTTGAGCCCACTAGGAGAATAATATGTTGATGTGCCCTTGAGCAAGGCACTTAACTGCTCATGTATGTCATTCTGGATAAGAGCGTCTGCTAAATGACAAATGTAAAATGTAGGTGGGGGGCCCACAACCAAATCTTGCTAAGGGCCCCTAAAAGGCAAGAGGCACCCCTGTGTGTATTTCATAAACAACTTAGCTATTGAAATGCAAGCAACAGGTGATGAGACCAGCGACAGAAAGTATTAGAATACAAAAACACAATATTTCACTCAAGTCAACCATACCAAGATGATTGTAATACAGTCGTCAGTACCATTCATATGTTTTACCTACTGGACCTCCTTAGCACAAACAAACAAGAACATGAAACAAATATTATTCACTTTATTTTAAATGATGATGTAATGGTGAATGAATCACATTGTTAAGTGTTTACATCCCTCTCAGTCCAATTACCAAAGACAGCTATAGTAGAGGGAGCGAGGTTACAAGATAAAAGGGTGTGGGGACTAGGTGGAGGTTCAGATCTGCTGGAGAGTTACACTACTGTAGCTTATCAATCCGTTAGTTATTAGAATCAGGTACACTAGATTAGGGTTGGAGAAAACCTACGAGATGGTAACACTCCAGGAGAGCCCTGAATCAGATCAAGCTGGATCTTGTGTCGAGTCTGTTGATTCCATCTCGATCTGGTCATCCTCAACGTGGCACTCCAGCCCTCGGGGGCCTGATTGGTGTCACACTTTTTCCCATACCCCAGCTAACACACCTGATTAAACTAATTGCATTCCGAGGAATAGAGTCCTCTAGAGAATCACCTGAAAAACATAAATAGTGTCACAATTACTTTGTTTGTAAACTGTAGCATCACTGAAACTTTTAAAAACCAAGCAATGCTCTCATATCTAACCTACATGCTTGTTGTTGGCAAAGAAAGTAAACATGTACACGTAACAAACATTCATTGAAGTATAGTCAATGTGTTCACAGAGTTGGATCATGTCCACATACGGTAGCCAGGGAGAGACGAGGTGGGGTATAGGGAATCAAATTCACTAGCCTAAACTTTGTAGGCCACATGTGCTGCACCAGAATCGCATGTTCTCTCCCTGCATTACCATGGTTTCCAGTCCATATAATACAGCATAATACAATACAGTACAGTAATACAGTTCACACTCAAACAGATTAGCCTACTGGAGCTTGTTCAATTTGTTTACCCAAGGGAGCATAGATACATCTATGCGCTTTTATGTTTTTCTGTCGTGTGGAATGTGGAATGTGCAGTAGCCTACATATCATACAACTTATGTATTGGATAACTGCACAATCATTTGGGCTTTTCTGGGCTTGGGCTCATTAAATGTCTTTAATGTAGGGCTCATAACGTTTATTTAAATCAGGCTCAGGTTGCATCAGGTTGTAATTTTCGATCAAAGCTCAAATCCAGACATAGGCCTATTTACAGTGCCTTCGGAAAGTATTCAGACCCCTTAACCTTTTCCACATTTTGTTACGTTACAGACTTATTATGAAACGGATTAAATAAATACAAATCCTCAGCAATCTACACACAACACCCCATAATGATGAAGCGAAAACAGAATTTTAGAAATTTTTGCAAATGTATTAAAAATGAAAATAGAAATACCTTATTTACATAAGTATTCAGACCCTTTGCTATGAGACTCGAAATTCAGCTCAGGTGCATCCTGTTTGCATTGATCATCCTTGAGATGTTTCTACAACTTGATTGGAGTCCACCTGTGGTAAATTCAATTGATTGGACATGATTTGGAAAGGCACACACCTGTCTATATAAGGTCCCACAGTTGAAAGCGCATGTCAGAGCAAAAACCAAGCCATGAGGTCGAAGGAATTGTCCGTAGATCTGGGGAAGGGTACCACATTTTTTTTGCTGCATTTAAGGTCCCCAACAACACAGTGGCCTCCATCATTCATAAATGGAAGAAGTTTGGAACCACTAAGACTCTTCCTAGAGCTGGCCGCCCGGCCAAACTGAGCAATCGGGGGAGAAGGGCCTTCGTCAGGGAGGTGACCAAGAACCCACTGGTCACTCTGACAGAACTCTAGAGTTCCTCTGTGGAGATAGGATAACCTTCCAGAAGCACAACCATCTCTGCAGCACTCCACCAATCAGGCCCTCAGTAAAAGGCACATGACAGCCCGCTTGGAGTTTGCCAAAAAAAACATCTAAAGACTCTCAGACCATGAGAAACAAGATTCTCTGGTCCAAGGTTGAACTATTTTGCCTGAATGCCAAGCATCACGTCTGGAGGAAACCTGTCACCCTCCCAAGGTGAAGCATGGTGGTGGCAGCATCATGGTGTGGAGATGATTTTCAGCGGCAGGGACTGGGAGACTAGTCAGGATCGAGGCAAAGATGAACGGAGCAAAGTAGAGAGAGATCCTTAAAGAAAACCAGCTCCAGAGCGCTCAGGACCTGTGACTGGGGTGAAGGTTCACCCTCCAATAGGACAATGACCCTAATCACACAGCTAAGACAACGCTGGAGTGGCTTCGGGACAAGTCTCTGAATGTCCTAGAGTGGCCGAGCCAGTGCCCGGACTTCAACCTGATCGAACATCTCTGGAGAGACCTGAAAATAGCTGTGCAGCAACACTCACCATCCAACCTGACAGAGCTTGAGAGGATCTGCAGAGAAGAATGGGAGAAAATCCCCAAATACAGGTGTGCCAGGCTTGTAGCTTCATACCCAAGAAGACTCAAGGCTGTAATCGCTGCCAAAGGTGTTTCAGCAAAGTACTGAGTAAAGGGTCTGAATACTTATGGTCCTCTGTAGCTCAGCTGGTAGAGCACGGCGCTTGTAACGCCAAGGTAGTGTGTTCGATCCCCGGGACCACCCATACACAAAAATGTATGCACGCACGACTGTAAGTCGCTTTGGATAAAAGCGTCTGCTAAATGGCATATTATTATATTATTTACTTATGTAAATGTAATATTCAGTTTTGTATTTTTTATAAATTAGCAAAATGTCTAAAAACCTATTTTTGCTTTGTCATTAAGGGTATTGCTGAGGGAAAATTTTCAATTTTAGAATAAGGCTGTAACGTAACAAAATGTGGAAAAAGTCAAGGGGACTGAATACTTTCCGAAGGCACTGTATATGTTTTATAATGCTTTTGAATGACACTTTGGTTTTGGCCGGAAATACCGGGTTACCCGGGAGAAAAGTGATTTATTCTCAGAATGGAACATTTGTAGAAAAGTGATTTATTCTCGGGATGGAACATTTGTAAAATACCGGCAAAATATTCAACCCTAGTGGGGAATGTGATTAGTCTAGATAGAACAGTGTTTCCTAATCCTGCTCCTGGTGACACAAAGGGGTGCACATTTTTGATTTTGCCCTAGCACTACACAGCCGATTCAACGTATCAAGTGTTGATGATTTGAATCAGGTGTGTAGTGCTAAGGCAAAAACAATATATCTTCCTCCACTGTCCCTGTCCCACACTGGGCTCGAACCAGTGATCCTCTGCTCGCAAACACGTGACCGTCCTCCTTCACAATGTACCAACGGTTTGAGACACCCAAAAGATATCCATTGGATGGCTCCATCCGCAACATTGGACCTGGAGTTCCTATCAGCTCAAAACGATTCGTTTTAATGTTGTCTAGAGCTAGTCTTCTTTATTTTTAAACAATCTTGGGGCTGTCATTTTATTGTGAGGAACTGCAGTTTTATCAGACATTTTTTCTGTTTCGTCCTCTGTTGTGGCAGGCTGTGGCGTGAGCTTATGGCACATTCTTAACTCTGTTACACATTTGTATGTGATAGTGTATGTCTCCGATTCCTCTCGTGACCCACCTGCCATCGTCACTACTCATTCATGTCGCCTCTCTGTCTTAGACCGTGGTACTGTACTTGTACTCCTCAGTCTTGCCTTCATTGTTGTTTAGTGAGATGAGGTGGTGGTATCTGGAGGTTGCCCTCGTCTCATTCATCTGAGGCAGGCCTCTCCAGAGGAACACTGAGGGGGAAAAGAGGGATAGATGGAAAGGAGTGAAAATGTACATGGTCTTATCAGTAAGGTATACCAGTATTAATATGGGTATTCTGGTTGGAAATGGGGTGCTTTTGAGGCAAATAATGCATTACTAAACCTTCTAAAAAGACACAGACTGAGGAGAATACTCAGGTGTACATGAAGAGGAAGCCATAGGTGGAGTTGACTCCGTAGTTGAACATCTCACTGGCATCCCATCCATTAGACTAACAGAGAGAGATACAAGGGAATGGTGGTTAGTGTGTGTGTCAGTGTGTCTCTCGTTGTGTCTGTCCCCATAGTTGTATACTACGAAGCAATTCAGGATTCATCTGTACTACGATGGTGGATTATGCTCGCCCGCCCACCTGTGCTTACTCTAGCAGGCATTCGCACATGGCTGGTCGAACGCCGAACTCTTCATTGAGACAATGCTGAAACATCAATTCATGGGTGAGTCAGTGTCACATTTTAACTTGTGCCTATATCAAACTGAAAGAAAAGTTATCTTGCAATTTCAGCAGGCTATGGTGTGATATAGGCTTTTAGAAGTACCGTCTTTATTTTATTACTTATCGTTAATGCCATCTTGTGCTTTGGTGTTCTTATCAATGCACAAGCACCTTTTTCCCATTCCTATCGCTCCTTCTATCTGTGGCTTGTTGCATTGTGGCCATAGCCATATAATCCATAGAAGGGTTTTGGAACCTCTAACCATGGCAATTTGACTGTTAATCATGGGTACACTAGCAATGGCTGCCAGTCTTGACTTGAATGGGAACTGCCATCTATGGATTATATACACAGTTTGGAAAGCAAATGCTGTCCTTACGAAATGGGTAAAATAATAGGTATTTTAACATTACTATTTTCTTACACAAAGAAAAATATTTCAAATGAAGGAGATGATAACACAATCTTTGGCTCAGACACTTCATTCAGGATAAATGGAGTTAGCCCTGAGTTAGCCTGCCCTGGAGAAGGTTAGTTTTGAAGGATTCGTTGCCATAGAAATGTACCTGGCTAAAAGGTAAGCCACTTTCATGTTACTGGTTATCCCGAATTGAACTAAGAGTTGACCAAAGTTACCTCGCTAACACCTCAAACCTGATCCGTAGTATAAATATAATCAAATGAATTTGCAACATGGGTGTGACACTCTGGCTCTGGGACTTTTGTATTTGAGCCAGGGTGTATTTTGTTTTGTTGGGTTTTGGTTTTGTTTCTAGGTTTGCCTTTCTGTTGGCTGCATTTCTAGGTTTGGTCGATGACTCCCAATCGGAGGTAACGAGTGTCAGCTGTCGGCTCGTTATCTCTGATTGGGAGCCATATTTATTCTGATTGTTTTCCTGTGGGCATTGTGGGTTTTTGTTCCAAGTTCAGTCATTATCACTGTGGACTTCACTTTCGTCTTTTGTTTTGTATTGACGTGCTTTTCTAATTAAAGTCATCATGTTCACTCGTAACGCTGCGCCTTGGTCTTACTTAGACGACATAGACCCTCGTGACAGAAAAACCCACCTTAAAAGGACCAAGCAGCGTGTCAAGCGGCAACAGGATTTATGGACGCCTATCAAGGATTCATGGACATGGGAGGAGATACTGGATGGAAAGGGTCCTTGGGCACAACCGGGAGAATATCGCCGCCCTCGTGAAGAGCTGGAGGCAGCTAAAGCCGAGAGGAGGTGGTATGAGGAGGCAGCACGGAGTCGAGGCTGGAAGCCCGTGGGTACTACCCAAAAATTTCTTGGGGGGGGGCTAAAAGGGAGTGTGGCGAAGTCAGGTAGGAGACCTGCGCCTACTCCCTGGACTGACCGTGGAGAGCGAGAGTACGGGCAGACACCGTGTTACGCAGTAGAGCGCATGGTGTCTCCTGTACGCAGGCATAGCCCGGTTCGGTACATTTCAGCTCCACGTATCGGCCGGGTTAGAGTGAGCATTGAGCCAGATGTCATGAAGCCGGCCCAACGCATCCGGCTACCAGTGCGTCTTCTCGGGCCGGCGTACATGGCACCAGCCTTACGCATGGTGTTCCCGGTTCGCCCACATAGGCCGGTGCGGGTTATTCCACCTCCCCGTACTGGTCGGGCGACGGGGAGCATCAACCCGGGTAAGGTTGGGCAGGCTCAGTGCTCAAGGGGGCCAGTAAGCCTGCACGGTCCGGTATTTCCGGCGCCACCTCCCCGCTCCAGCCCAGTACCACCAGTGCCTACACCACGCACCAAGCCTCCTGTGTGTTCCCCGAGTCCTGTGCGTCCTGTTGCTGCTCTCCGCACTAGCCCTTATGTGCGTCCCCAGGGTCCAGCATGCCCTGTTGCTGCTCTCCGCACTAGGCCTTATGTGCGTCCTCAGGGTCCAGCATGCCCTGTTGCTGCTCTCCGCACTAGGCCTTATGTGCGTCCCCAGGGTCCAGCATGCCCTGTTCCTGCTCTCCGCACTAGGCCTTATGTGCGTCCTCAGGGTCCAGCATGCCCTGTTGCTGCTCTCCGCACTAGGCCTTATGTGCGTCCCCAGGGTCCAGCATGCCCTGTTCCTGCTCTCCGCACTAGGCCTTATGTGCGTCCCCAGGGTCCAGCATGCCCTGTTGCTTCTCCCCGCACTAGCCCTGAGATGCGTGTCCTCAGCCCGGTACCTCCAGTTCCGGCACCACGCACCAGGCCTACGGTGCGCCTCAGACGGCCAGAGTCTGCCGTCTGCCCAACGGGGCCTGAACTGCCCGTCTGGACTGAGCCTGCAAAGCCGCCCGTCTGCCATGAGCCTTCAGAGCCGTCCGCCAGACCGGAGCCGCTAGAGCCTTCCGCCAGACAGGATCAGCCAGAGCCTTCCGCCAGACAGGATCAGCCAGAGCCTTCCGCCAGACAGGATCAGCCAGAGCCTTCCGCCAGCCATGAGCAGCCAGATCCGTCAGCCAGCCATGAGCAGCCAGATCCGTCAGCCAGCCATGAGCAGCCAGATCCGTCAGCCAGCCATGAGCAGCCAGATCCGTCAGCCAGCCATGAGCAGCCAGATCCTTCAGCCAGCCATGAGCAGCCAGATCCTTTGGCCAGCCATGAGCAGCCAGATCCGTCGGCCAGCCATGAGCAGCCAGATCCGTCAGCCAGCCATGAGCAGCCAGATCCGTCGGCCAGCCATGAGCAGCCAGATCCTTCAGCCAGCCATGAGCCGTCCAGCCAGGATCCGCCAGAGCCGTCCAGCCAGGATCCGCCAGAGCCGTCCAGCCAGGATCCGCCAGAGCCAGCCAGCCAGGATCCGCCATTGAGTCCGGGGCTGTCCCTTAGCCCGGTGCTGCCCCTTATCCTGGTGCTGCCCCTTAGTCCGGTACTGCCCCTTAGTCCGGTGCTGCCCCTTAGTCCGGTGCTGCCCTTTAGTCCGGTGCCGCCCCTTAATCCAGTGGGGTTTAGTTGGGGGGTGGTCATTTGGAGGAGGCTACGGAGGCGGATAGTGACTAAGGTGGGGTGGGGACCACGACCAGGGCCAGAACCGCCACCGTGGACAGACGCCCACCCAGACCCTCCCCTAGACTGTATGCTGGTGCGCCCGGAGTGCGCACCTTTAGGGGGGGGTACTGTGACACTCTGGCTCTGGGACTTTTGTATTTGAGCCAGGGTGTATTTTGTTTTGTTGGGTTTTGGTTTTGTTTCTAGGTTTGCCTTTCTGTTGGCTGCATTTCTAGGTTTGGTCGATGACTCCCAATCGGAGGTAACGAGTGTCAGCTGTCGGCTCGTTATCTCTGATTGGGAGCCATATTTATTCTGATTGTTTTCCTGTGGGCATTGTGGGTTTTTGTTCCAAGTTCAGTCATTATCACTGTGGACTTCACTTTCGTCTTTTGTTTTGTATTGACGTGCTTTTCTAATTAAAGTCATCATGTTCACTCGTAACGCTGCGCCTTGGTCTTACTTAGACGACATAGACCCTCGTGACAATGGGCCGAATACAACAGGTGTAGACCTTACAGTTAAATGCTTACTTACAAGCCCTTAACCAACAATGCAGTTAAGAAAAAAAGTGTTAAGTAAAAAATAGATAAGTAAAAAATAAAATAAATAAATAATTAAAGCAGTAAAATAAAATAACAGTAGGGAGGCTATATATAAGGGGTACCGGTACAGAGTCAATGTGCGGGGGCACCGGTTAGTCGAGGTAATTGAGGTAATATGTACATGTGGGTAGAGTTAAAGTGACTATGCATAGATAATAAACAGAGTAGCAGCAGCATAAAAGAGGGGGTGGGGGGGGGGACAATGCAAATAGTCTGGGTAGCCATGATTAGCTGTTCAGGAGTCTTATGGCTTGGGGGTAGAAGCTGTTAAGAGGTCTTTTGGACCTAGACTTGGCGCTCCGGTACAGCTTGCCGTGCAGTAGCAGAGAACAGTCTATGACTAGGGTGGCTGGAGTCTTTGACAATTTTTAGGGCCTTCCTCTGACACCGCCTGGTATAGAGGTCCTGGATGGCAGGAAGCTTGGCCCCAGTGATGTACTGGGCCATACGCACTACCCTCTGTAGTGCCTTGCGGTCGGAGGCCGAGCAGTTGCCATACCAGGCGGTGATGCAACCAGTCAGGATGCTCTCGATGGTGGAGCTGTATAACTTTTTGAGGATCTCAGGACCCATGCCAAATATTTTCAGTCTCCTGAGGGGGAATAGGCTTTGTCGTCCCCTCTTCACGAATGTCTTGTTGTGTTTGGACCGTGATAGTTTGTTGGTGATGTGGACACCAAGGAACTTGAAGCTCAACCTGTTCCACTACAGCCCTGTCGATGAGAATGGGGGCGTGCTCAGTCCTCTTTTTTTCCCCCTCTAGTCCACAATCATCTCCTTAGTCTTGGTCACGTTGAGGGAGAGGTTGTTATCCTTGCACCACACGGCCAGGTCTCTGACCTCCTTCCTATTGGCTGTCTCGTCGTTGTCTGTGATCAGGCCTACCACTGTTGTGTCGTCGAAAAACTTAATGATGGTGTTGGAGTCGTGCCTGGCCATGCAGTCATGGGTGAACAGGGAGTACAGGAGGGGACTGAGCACGCACCCCTGAGGGGCCCCCGTGTTGAGGATCAGCATGGCAGATGTGTTGTTACCTACCCTTACCACCTGGGGGTGGCCCGTCAGGAAGTCCAGGATCCAGTTGCAGAGGGAGGTGTTTAGTCCCAGGATCCTTAGCTTTGAGGGCACTATGGTGTTGAACGCTGCGCTGTAGTCAATGAATAGCATTCTCACGTAGGTGTTCCTCTTGTCCAGGTGGGAAAGGGCAGTGTGGAGTGCAATAGAGATTGCATCATCTGTGGATCTGTTGGGGCGGTATACAAATTGGAGTGGGTCTAGGGTTTCTGGGATGATGGTGTTGATTTGAGCCATGACCAGCCTTTCAAAGCACTTCATGGCTACAGACGTGAGTGCTACGGGTCAGTAGTCATTTAGGCAGGTTATCTTAGTGTTCTTGGGCACAGGGACTATGGTGGTCTGCTTGAAACATGTTGGTATTACAGACTCAGCCAGGGAAATGTTGAAAATGTCAGTGAAGACACTTGCCAGTTGGTCAGTGGATGCTCTGAGTACACGTCCTGGTAATCCGTCTGGCCCTGCGACCTTGTGAATGTTGACCTGCTTAAAAGTCTTACTCACATTGGCTACGGAGATTGTGATCACATTGTCATCCGGAACAGCTGATGCTCTCATGCATGCTTCAGTGTTGCTTGCCTCGAAGCGAGCATAGAAGTGATTTAGCTCGTCTGGTAGGCTTGTGTCACTGGGCAGCTCGCGGCTGTGCTTCCCTTTGTAGTCTGTAATAGTTTTCAAGCCCTGCCACATCCAACGAGCATCAGAGCCGGTGTAGTACGATTCAATCTTAGTCCTGTATTGACTCTTTGTGCCTGATTGATGGTTTGTCGGAGGGCATAGCGGGATTTCTTATAAGCGTCTGGGTTAGAGTCCCGCTCCTTGAAAGCGGCAGCTCTACCCTTTAGCTCAGTGCGGATGTTGCCTGTAATCCATGGCTTCTGGTTGGGGTATGTATGTACGGTCACTGTGGGGACGACGTCATCGATGCACTTATTGATGAAGCCAGTGACTGATGTGGTATACTCCTCAATCCCATTGGAAGAATCCCGGAACATATTCCAGTCTGTGCTAGCAAAACAGTCCTGTAGCTTAGCATCTGCCTCATTTGACCACTTCCTTATTAACCGAGTCACTGGTGATTTCTGCTTTAGTTTGTGCTTATAAGCAGGAATCAGGAGGATAGAATTATGGTCAGATGTGGGGTCGAGGGAGAGCTTCATACGTGTCTCTGTGTGTGGAGCAAAGGTGGTCTAGAGTTTCCTCTGGTTGCACATTTAACATGCTGGTAGAAATTAGGTAGAATTGATTTAAGTTTCCCTGCATTAAAGTCCCGGCCACTAGGAGCGCTGCCTCTGGATGAGCATTTTCCTGTTTGCTTATGGCCTTATACAGCTCATTGAGTGCAATCTTAGTGCCAGCATCGGTTTGTGGTGGTATATAGACAGCTACAAAAAATATAGATGAAAACTTGCTTGGTAAATAGTGTGAGATACTCTACCTCAGACGAGCTAAACCTCGAGACTTCCTTAGTATTAGATTTTATGCACTTGCTGTTGTTTACAAATATACACAGACCGCCACCCCTTGTCTTACTGGAGTCAGACGTTCTATCCTGCCGATGTAGCGTGTATCCCGCCAGCTGTATGTTATCCATGTCGTCGTTCAGCCACGACTCGGTGAAACATAAGATATTACAGTTTTTAATGTCCCGTTTGGTAGGATATCCTTGATCTTAGGTCGTCCATTTTGTTTTCAAATGATTGTACTTTAGCTAATAGGCTTGATGGAAGAGGCAGATTACTTGCTCACCGTCGGATCCTTACAAGGCACCCCGACTTACGTCCTCGATATTTGGGCCTTGTCCGGTGTCTGTAGACTGTCCTTCACGTCCGACTCATTGAAGAAAAAATCTTCGTCCAATACGAGATGAGTAATTGCTGTCCTGATATCCAGAAGCTCTTTTTGGCCATAAGAGATGGTGGCAGAAACATTATGTACAGAATAAATTACAAATAAAGCGGAGAAACACACATAATAGTAAAATTGGTTAGAGGGCCGTAAAACGACAGCCATCTGCTCCGGCGCCATCTTGGTGTATAGGGTTCAGGACAAAGCCCTCTCTATTGCCATCTCCTCTGTCTCACCGCTAAAGCACTTTGCTCATTGTTCAACCCCAACAAGCTGATCGCTGTGTCTGTGAATGCATCCATCCACACACATAGAGACAGAGGAGATATAACTGTGAATCAACTACACACTAACACTATCTACAAATAACAACAAGATAACTAATGTAAAGCATACTGTGTCCATAATAAGTATATACAGTGGGGAGAACAAGTATTTGATACACTGCCGATTTTGCAGGTTTTCCTACTTACAAAGCATGTAAAGGTCTGTAATTTTTATCATAGGTACAGTTCAACTGTGAGAGACGGAATATAAAACAAAAATCCAGAAAATCACATTGTATGCTTTTTAAGTAATTAATTTGCATTTTATTGCATGACATAAGTATTTGATCACCTACCAACCAGTAAGAATTCCGGCTCTCACAGACCTGTTAGTTTTTCTTTAAGAAGCCCTCCTGTTCTCCACTCATTACCTGTATTAACTGCACCTGTTTGAACACGTTACCTGTATAAAAGACACCTGTCCACACACTCAATCAAACAGACTCCAACCTCTCCACAATGGCCAAGAACAGAGAGCTATGTAAGGACATCAGGGATAACATTGTAGACCTGCACAAGGCTGGGATGGGCTACAGGACAATAGGCAAGCAGCTTGGTGAGAAGGCAACAACTGTTGGCGCAATTATTAGAAAATGGAAGAAGTTCAAGATGATGGTCAATCACCCTCGGTCTGGGGCTCCATGCAAGATCTCACCTCGTGGGGCATCAATGATCATGAGGAAGGTGAGGGATCAGCCCAGAACTACACGGCAGGACCTGGTCAATGACCTGAAGAGAGCTGGGACCACAGTCTCAAAGAAAACAATTAGTAACACACTACGCCGTCATGGATTAAAATCCTGCAGCGCACGCAAGGTCCCCCTGCTCAAGCCAGTGCATGTCCAGGCCCGTCTGAAGTTTGCCAATGACCATCTGGAAGATCCAGAGGAGGAATGGGAGAAGGTCATGTGGTCTGATGAGACAAAAATATAGCTTTTTGGTCTAAACTCCACTCGCCGTGTTTGGAGGACGAAAAAGGATGAGTACAACCCCAAGAACACCATCCCAACCGTGAACCATGGAGGTGGAAACATCTTTCTTTGGGGATGCTTTTCTGCAAAGGGGACAGGACGACTGCACCGTATTGAGGGGAGGATGGATGGGGCCATGTATCGCGAGATCTTGGCCAACAACCTCCTTCCCTCAGTAAGAGCATTGAAGATGGGTCGTGGCTGGGTCTTCCAGCATGACCACGACCCGAAACACACAGCCAGGGCAACTAAGGAGTGGCTCCGTAAGAAGCATCTCAAGGTCCTGGAGTGGCCTAGCCAGTCTCCAGACCTGAACCCAATAGAAAATCTTTGGAGGGAGCTGAAAGTCCGTATTGCCCAGCGACAGCCCGAAACCTGAAGGTCTGTATGGAGGAGTGGGCCAAAATCCCTGCTGCAGTGTGTGCAAACCTGGTCAAGACCTACAGGAAACGTATGATCTCTGTAATTGCAAACAAATGTTTCTGTACCAAATATTAAGTTCTGCATTTCTGATGTATCAAATACTTATGTCATGCAATAAAATGCAAATTAATTACTTAAAAATCATACAATGTGATTTTCTGGATTTTTGTTTTAGATTCCGTCTCTCACAAGTGTACCTATGATAAAAATTACAGACCTCTACATGCTTTGTAAGTAGGAAAACCTGCAAAATCGGCAGTGTATCAAATACTTGTTCTCCCCACTGTAGGTTATAGGTTGAGAGCTTTTGTGAAAGAGCACAGTTAGAAAGATATGGCATATAGAAGCAAACTGGATGGACATCATGAAAATGATTGGAGAGGTTGAGGGTAGAGGAAGTTCAGGAGTAAAAACAAACAAAATAGAATTATTGTAAAATTGACTGTGTCCATAAAATGTATATAGTATATATAAGATGGAAGTAGAGGCCTAAGCGTTGTTGTTTACTAGTTTACTCCAATTAGGGAAGGGGTGGTGGGGTTGGAAAGTAATAAAGGGAAATATATTTTTTTAAAGGGTATGTATATACAGTTGAAGTCGGAAGTTTACATACACCTTAGCCAAATACATTTAAACTCTTAGGTCAGTTAGGATCACCACTTTATTTTAAGAATGTGAAATGTCAGAATAATAGTAGAGAGAATTATTTATTTCAGCTTTTATTTATTTCATCACATTCCCAGTGGGTCAGAAGTTTACATACACTCAATTAATATTTGGTAGCATTGCCTTTAAATTGTTTAACTTGGGTCAAACATTTCGGGTAGCCTTCCACAAGCTTCCCACAATAAGTCGGGTGAATTTTGGCCCATTCCTCCTGACAGAGCTGGTGTAACTGAGTCAGGTTTGTAGGCCTCCTTGCTCGCACACGCTTTTTCAGTTCTGCCCACAAATGTTATATAGGATTGAGGTCAGGGCTTTGTGATGGCCACTCCAATACCTTGACTTTGTTGTCCTTAAGCCATTTTGCCACAAATGTGGAAGTATGCTTGGGGTCATTGTCCATTTGGAAGACCCATTTGCGACCAAGCTTTAACTTCCTGACTGATGTCTTGAGATGTTGCTTCAATATATGCACATAATTTTCCTTCCTCATGATGCCATCTATTTTGTGAAGTGCACCGGTCCCTCCTGCAGCAAAGCACCCCCACAGCATGATGCTGCCACCCCCGTGCTTCACGGTTGGGATGGTGTTCTTCGGCTTGCAAGCTACCCGGTATGACGGCTGCGTGGTCCCAAGGAGTTTATACTTGCGTACTGTTGTTTGTACAGATGAACGTGGTACCTTCAGGCGTTTGGAAATTGCTCCCAAGGATGAACCAGACTTGTGGAGGTCTACCATTTTTTTTCTGAGGTCTTGGCTGATTTCTTTTGATTTTTCCATGATGTCAAGCAAAGAGGCACTGAGTTTGAAGGTAGGCCTTGAAATACATCCACAGGTACACCTCCAATTGACTCAAATGATGTCAATTAGCCTATCAGAAGCTTCTAAAGCCATGACATCATTTTCTGGAATTTTCCAAGCTGTTTAAAGGCACAGTCAACTTAGTGTATGTAAACTTCTGACCCACTGGAATTGTGTTACAGTGAATTATAAGTGAAATAATCTGTCTGTAAACAATTGTTGGAAAAATTACTTGTGTCATGCACAAAGTAGATGTCCTAACCGACTTGCCAAAACTACAGTTTGTTAACAAGAAATTTGTGGAGTGTTTGAAAAATGAGTTTTAATGACTCCAACCTAAGTGTATGTAAACTTCCAACTTCAACTGCATGTATATGTATTTATATGTATGTATGTGTATATGTATGTGTATGTATGTATGTATGTATGTATGTATATATATATATATATATATATATATATATATATATATATATATATATATATATATATATATATATATATACATATATATATATATATATTTGCGAGAAACAAAAACATTTGGGGGATTGGAAGTGATGCAAACAATTACATTGATGAAAGTTACAATCTATCTGCAATATTAAAGCTGATCTACCCCTCCCAAATAAATAAATAAGAATAATAATAATAATAAAAACACTATCTACAAATAATTAACAAAGCAATCAGTAATTAGGATTTGATGATTCATCATAATGAGATGGTCAGTACTGAATGATAGTTCTACTGTAGCATGAGGTCATAAAGACAGATGGAGACATGCTTACCTGTATGGTGTCTTGCTGTGCCTCTACCTCTTATTCACTTTTTTGGTGCCCACTCCTGAAAGAGAGGTTTCATTAGACTCCATTGAACAACAAGGCAGGCCGGTCCAGTATATTACCCTCCAGCAGTCTCTAATAATGGTCACATTGTTGGACCATACACTACTGTTATACAGTCTGCTACATTAGCTTGTAACACTGTTCACTACATTAGACTAACTGACAATAACAAAGGGGGTGAAGTCTACATCATCTCATATTACAGTACACTCCATTAGGTCCCATTAACTTCCAGTAGCCCACTGTGTGTGTCTGTGTGTGTTGCACCTGAAACTGAAGGGAGTAAGTGGGCATGCCTGGTCTGTGGGTGTTCTTCCACCAGCTCAGTTTGTCTACCCACATCCACACACACCCTCCTAGTAACAGTCTGACTGCAGGTGTAGCCTACCTCTCATTGTTGGTGATTCTCTTCCTCTCCTCCTCTTGTGATTGGTCAAAGATAGAGTCCATCTCCTCCATGTAGCCAGGGGTGTAGTGGGTCACCTCCTCCAGAACATTCTCAAAGCGGACTCGCACCTGGGGGTGTCACATTGGGAGATGTACACATTATTACACACACACACACACACACACACACACACACACACACACACACACGTACATAAATAAAGGCAGGTTTCCAGTAGAACATCATGTTATTACAATATTACAATATTGAGAAAAGAGTGAATGTAAAAAACAAAATGTTATTCTGTACTCACTTTGATTGGGGTTGTACTGTATTTTCAAATGTGTTGGTAGATAAAAGGTGGATATCCTTGATCTAGAAAATGATTACAAAAAATGTCATATCAGATGTAGACTGCTAGAAACAAATAGCGCTTTCAAATACCAACTTTAATTAGCTAGTTATTCTACTCATCAAGGACTTAAAAATTGGAAGTCAACTCGGCTGTTTACAGCTATCATTAGACAACTAGCTAGGAATCGTAGCTAAGACCTGAATGTCTCTCTGGTTGATAATGTTAACTAGCTAGGTCAAAGCAATGTATAATCATAAATAGGTAGCTAGCTGGCTAGATAACTGGCTAGAAATAACTGGCTAGTTAGCTAACGTTATAACTTTTAGGACCTAGACGTGTTCGCTGACAGGAAAAACTATTATTGGCTACTAGCAGGAGGAATGTAAAGCTAACTAGCAAGCCGGTTAATGGTGTGGCATTACCGAAGCAGATACCGAAGGTCGCCAGTCTGTAGCTAGTCAGGGCCGGTTTCCCGATAGCGATGGAATTTATACTTACGAGTGTTTTCACAATGCATCTTTCCTACAACGGCCGAAGATGTAACATGCGTTTCCCAAAACACCATGCAGAGAGAATGTTCGCTAAGTGATTCGTTGAGGCTTGTGTCCATTCTGATAGGATCAAAAGAAAGGAAGCACTGCTCTCAGATCAGCGTTCTCCCTCTAACCTTAAAGTGGCAATCAGCAGTTGCTACATCCATTTGTTTACTTAAAAAATTTATGATATGTTCCCATTGATTCTTGAAGAATATAACTTATAAAAAAGTGTTGGTACCATTCTTTATTCATGGCTGTGTTCTTAGGCAACCTTGAGTGAGCCCACTCCCTTGGCTGAGAAGCAACCCCACACATGAATGGTCTCAGGATGCTTTACTGTTGGCATGACACAGGACTGATGGTAGCGCTCACCTTGTCTTCTCCGGACAAGCTTTTTTCCGGATGCCCCAAACAATCGGAAAGGGAATTCATCAGAGAAAATGACTTTACCCCAGTCCTCAGCAGTCCAATCCCTGTACCTTTTGCAGAATATCAGTCTGTCCCTGATGTTTTTCCTGGATAGAAGTGGCTTCCTCGCTGCCCTTCTTGACACCAGACCATCCTCCAAAAGTATTTGCCTCACTGTGTGTGCAGATGCACTCACACCTGCCTGCTGCCATTCCTGAGCAAGCTCTGCACTGGTGGTGCCCCAATCCCGCAGCTGAATCAACTTTAGGAGACGGTCCTGGCATTTGCTGGACTTTCTTGGGCGCCCTGAAGCCTTCTTCACAACAATTGAACCTATCTCCTTGAAGTTCTTGATGATCCGATAAATGGTTGATTTAGGTTCAATCTTACTAGCAGAAATATCCTTGCCTGTGAAGGCCTTTTTGTGCAAAGCAATGATGACGGCACGTGTTTCCTTGCAGGTAACCATGGTTAACAGAGGAAGAACACAGATTTCAAACACCACCCTCCTTTTAAAGCTTCCAGTCTGTTATTCTAACTCAATCAGTATGACAGAGTGATCTCCAGCCTTGTCCTCATCAACACTCTCACCTGTGGTAACGAGAGAATCACTGACATGATGTCAGCTGGTCCTTTTGTGGCAGGGCTGAAATGCAGTGGAGGGACTTTGCAATTAATTGCAATTCATCTGATCACTCTTCATAACATTATGGAGTATATGCAAATTGCCATCATAAAAACTGAGGCAGCAGACTTTGTGAAAATTAATATTTGTGTCATTTTAAAAACTTTTGACCACGACTGTATACACCTGTTCTGAAAGGACCCAGAGTCTGCAACACCACTAAGCAAGGGGCACCACCAATCAAGTGGCACCATGAAGACCAAGAAGCTCTCCAAACAGGTCAGGGACATATTTGTGGAGAAGTACAGATCAAGGTTGTATTATTTAAAAAAATCTAGAAACTTTGAACATCCCACGGAGCATAATTAAAGCCATTATAAAAAAATTGAAATAATATGGCACCACAACAAACCTGCCAAGAGAGGGCCGCCCACCAAAACGAATGGACCAGGCAAGGAGGGCATTAATCAGAGAGGCAACAAAGAGACCAAAGATAACCCTGAAGGAGCTGCAAAGCTCCACAGCGGTAATTGGAGTATCTGTCCATAGGACCACTTTAAGCCGTACACTACTCAGAGCTGGGCTTTACGGAAGAGTGGCCAGAAAAAAGCCATTACATGAAGAAAAAAATAAGCAAACACATTTGCTGTTCGCCAAAAGGCATGTGGGAGACTCCCCAAACATATTGAAGAAGGTACTGTGGTCAAATGAGACAAAAATGTAGCTTTTTGCCCATCAAGGAAAACGCTATGTCTGGCGCAAACCCAACACCTCTCATCACCCCAAGAACACCATCCCCACAGTGAAGCATTTCATCGGCAGGGACTGGGAAACTGGTCAGAATTGAAGGAATGATGGATGGCGCTAAATACAGGCAAATTATTGAGGGAAACCTGTTTCAGTCTTCCAGCGTACTGCATAGCACACTGCTAAAGCAACACTCGAATGGTTTAAGGGGAAACATTTAAATGTCTTGGAATGGCCTAGTCAAAGCCCAGACCTCAATCCAATTGAGAATCTATGGTATGACTTAAAGATTGCTGTACACCAGCGGAACCCATCTAACTTGAAGGAGCTGAAGCAGTTTTGCCTTGAAGAATGGGCAAAAATCCCGGTGGCTAGCTGTGGCAAGCTTATAGAGACATACCCCAGGCTTGCAGCTGTAATTGCTGCAAAAGGTGGCTCTACAAAGTATTGACTTTGGGGGGGGGGGGGGTGAATAGTTATGCACGCTCAAGTTTTATGTTTCTTTTGTCTTATTTCTTGTTTGTTTCACAATAAACAATATTTTGCATCTTCAAAGTGGTAGGCATGTTGTGTAAATCAAATAATACAAACCCCCCAAAAATACATATTAATTCCAGGTTGTAAGGCAACAAAATAGAAAAATGCCAAGGGGGATGAATACTTTCACAAGCCACTGTAGGCTGTTGCCAATTTCTTAATGAGGAATTTTCATAAATATATATTTGAAACTTCAACCACTACATTTTTATTCTACGCTGTCATTTTTGTAGGTGTGACATCATTACGTCCAGCTGTTTTTATCGACACAACATAGTTAAATGAAAATGCACACTAGTAGGCAATTGTCACATCTATTTTCTATGCAAACGTTCTAAATGTCTACAAAAAAATTACTGGACAAGTTAATGGAAACATAGCTACTGTCACATTCGTTCTGAAGTTGACGGCGGTCACAGAAAAACAGATAAACAACTTGATTTTGTTTTTAGTGGAGATCTTCTGTCTATCCGTCTATCTGTGTTTTTATAAAGTGACACGGATGGGCAAAAAACCTAGCTAATGACGTACTTAGCTGTTCTACGAGTGGTCTGAGACAGTCGCTAAATAATTTGCATTTTCATGAGAAACTTTAGTAACGATGGTTATGGGAAAAAGCTCAGTGATCTAATGATGATGCTACAAAGGTTCTAACAATGAATTTAGCCCTAAGATGCTTTTGGGAAACCGGGCCCAGCTAGCTAGATAACTTGTCTAACTACCTAGTTAGTTAGTTGTCTGTGACCTAATGTTAGCTAGCTAGTTAGATAGTTAGCTAGATAGCTAAATAACGTGTCTGCTAAAATCGGCAATACAATGTCACTGCCCAGTGACAAACAAAGCAACAACTTTTTACCTTAAATATTTCTTACCTTAACAAAATAGCTAGTTAGCTATTTTAGTTTGGATATTCAACACTGGTACAATAATCCAATCTCTGAAGAAGATGTCCTAATCTTCTTCTATGGTATTATGTCGGTCTGCAACCAACTTTAGAGGTGCATGGGATGGGTGAAAACTGATCAACTTTAATGGGTGAACAAAAACAAAAACTTTACTCCTTCAATCGGATTCAAATGTCTTCTCAGATCCATACAGTATCAGGAGCCTGAGAGTGGGAACCTCTTCATTCAGTATTTCCTGTAACATGTTGGCCGTGAATTATTTTTGCCACCTTCAAAAAGATTTCTTATTAGTTTGTCCCGTGCAATTTATCATTTGCGCAATAAACACAACAGTTAGCATCTCTGGATCCCTCTGATGAACAACATTCACTGCAGGCTGTGGGGCATCACTCTCATCTTATCTCCACTTGATCCTTCCGCTATTTGCACTGCCTCAACATAGAAGACCTGCTGGATACCCCTGAACCTAGTTACTGCAACCTCTTTTACCCTAACATGGCACTCCGGGAACTCGGGAGCATGATTCCCATTGCAATAACAGCACCGTGCTTCCTCAGACTCTTCAACAACATATTTGTTTATTCTGCAAACACTTGCCACGTGTCCAAATGTTTAAAAATTATAATACTGAAGCGGCTTTTGTACATAAGGTCTCAACGCATATCTCACATCCCAAAATGTTCCATGAGTCAATAGAAAAACTTCATCATACAACAGCAAAACCGTCAATCATTTGGGTTACATGCTGAACAGACCGCCCCTGTTGCGTGCGCGAGCTTTGCAAAATAAGAAGCCTGTTCATATTATTCTTATTTCTAGGGCAAAATCTCTCCCGGTCTTTTTCATCTTCTATGGTATTATGGTGGCCACAAACAAACGTTAGAGGTGAATGCCTCCACCTATTGTACTGAAGTATGTAGTCAATCACAGCTTACAGACTACATGAATAAAGAAACAAACATTAAGAAAAACTAAACCCTCCTACCTAACCCTGTATTACTAAAAAAGAGCCCAACTAACTTCTAACAAACCGTCCCCCAAATCCCTTCCAAACCCCACCCACCCCATCCAACCTCAATAACCCTACACATCAATATTTCCCTCTCTTACACAATCCGGTACTTGCAACAATACATCAACACATGCTCAGTACACAAACCATTCACATGCTTGCCAACCAGATGTCATAGGCGCAACCGAACTTCTTGGATCACCATTAGCTTTTGCAGAAGCAGCAGCTACTCTTCCTGGGGTCCACAAAGAACACAAATCATGACAAGTAACAAAACACTGATACACTGATAGACAAGGACAGTCACACAAATGTAAAATACAACTATTTACAAACAATACATCAAAAAAATACACCACCTGCGGGCCGCCAGTTGAGGAACCCTGATGTACGGTCAAGTTAGTTCAGACAGTATAACCGGGAGAGGTAGGTGAGGCCAAAAGTAAGATTAGAGCCATTATGATAGATGTGTGGCAGAAGAGTTGGGAGAGCAAGCACAAGGGCTGGCATTTATACGCCCTCCAAAGAAAGGTCGGTGGACCAAGATTCAAAGGTCAGATTAGGAAGGAAGAGGTGGTGTTTATATAGTTGTATTTAAAATGTGTGTGACTGTCCTTGTCTATCAGTGTATCAGTGTTTTGTTACTTGTCATGATTTGTGTTCTTTGTGGACCCCAGGAAGAGTAGCTGCTGCTTCTGCAAAAGCTAATGGTGATCCAAATAAAAAGGTAAATGCCTTTGTTCGATATTGGGATATTGAGAAAATCATTCATGGTACTGTGGGAAATGTATTCCTTTTATGTAAATGTATGCATTAACTAGCTATGTAATTGTAATACCTTTTTACAGTTGGTCTAGTGCCTGTAGCTTAAACTGTTAAAGAGCTGTAGTATTTAGAAAACCAACCATTTTAGGCTGCCATTGACAGCCATGTTGTTTTATGCAATTTCACAGCGGTGGAAAAAGTACCCAATTGTCATACTTGAGTAAAAGTAAAGATACCTTAAAAGAAAATGACTCAAGTAAAAGTGAAAATCACCCAGTAAAATACTACTTGAATACAAGTCTAAAAGTATTTGTTTTGAAATACTTAAATATCCAAATAAATGTAATTGCTAAAATATACTTAAGTGTCAAAAGTAAAAGTAAAAGTATAAATAATTTCAAATTCCTTATATAAAGCAAACCAAATGGCACTATTCTTGTTTTTTTATTTATGTATTGCCAGGGGCACACTCCAACACTCAGACATAATTTACAAATGAAGCATGTGTGTTTAGTGAGTCCGCCAGATGAGATGCAGTAGGGATGACCAGAGAATTGCGTGAATTGGACCATTTTCCAAGTTGTCAAAAATATAAATAGTAAAGTCAAGTACAGATACTCAAAAAAACTACTAGTACTTTAAAGTATTGTTACTTAAGTATTTTACACCACTGCAATTGTACTGGGCCCTGTGTAGCTCAGTTGGTAGAGCATGGCGCTTGCAACGCCAATGTTGTGGGTTCGTTTTCCACGGGGGACCAGCATGAAAAAAGTCTGAAAATGTATGCACTACCTGAACTATAAGTCGCTCTGGATAAGAGCGTCTGCTAAATGACTAAAATGTAAATGTAATGCAATTTCAAATAGTTATAATGCATTGTAATAATGTTTGGTGGCAGAACTTGCGCTATTATAAGACCTTCCGGGAAAAAACCCTGGAGATGAATGCAAAAAACAATGTTTTAAGTGAAATATTAGCTTTTGTTTGAAGTCGAAAAAAAATCAAAAGCTAATTTTACCTATGCACTAACAAGGCTTTCAGCATAAGTAGCTTGACTACTGCTAGAGTACTGTAGCTGTATTGATCTACTGTACTTCAACAACAGATGTACTCACATTGGATGGGTTGATTAGGATTCAACCTTCTCTCAAACAGCTTAATACATATCTTAGAGTAGGTTTACCCCATTAATGTACCAGGTAATGTAACATGTTTTTTCATCTGCCATCTGGGAATCTGTTCAATGTTCCTAATCTTGATATATACCCATTGGTTCTTAAAGGGTCAATCTGCAGTTAAAACAACAACAAAGCCAACACCCCACCACTGTTTTGGTAAAAAGCTAAAGAATTGGTGGTGAAGAAATAATAATAATAATAATAATAATAATAATAATAATAATAATAATAATAATAATAATAATAATAATTTAACCACTCAAATTCATCAATAGCTCTATGGATACAAAATGAAAATGTTAACCATATTCAGAGGCTAAACAGTTGTTGTTTCTAATTACATTGTTTACGAACAATTGAGTAGAACAAGCATATATTTTGGGTTCTGATGGGATATGACAATTGGACTAAGCTCATGAGGCATTTATTATATAAATGATGTTCTTCAAGAATCAATGTGTGTGTGTAAATAACTGTAGTAAAAAGCAATATATTAAGCAATTACAAATGTACCCTTTAAATACTATAACTTATAAATGTCTCAAGTGCATAGCGCAACTGTCTTACCCTATCATAACCCAAAATATAAGGTTGCATTACTCCATTGTTTATAACAGGACCATAAACCATGTATAGCTTCAAAGTACTGTATGTACAAATGCTGTCAACTACCTTGTCTCAGTAGGCTTATGTATTATGCTTGGTCAAATGTAGGGATAAGAGCAGTTTTCAGACACAGATGACCTAGTCATGGACCCTAAATCATTTTGGCTGGAGATTTTCCATTGATCTTGATTTTTTGTCCAGGACTAGGCTTAATCTGTGTCCGGGAAAACCTCTCCATAATGTTTAAATGAGTGGAATTGGATTATGTCTTAAGTGAAAAAATATGTTTACATTACCTGGTACATTAATGGGGTAAACCTACTCTAAGATATGTATTAAGCTGTGTGAGAGAAGGTTGAATCCTAATCAACCCATCCAATGTGAGTACATCTGTTGTTGAAGTACAGTAGATCAATACAGCTACAGTACTCTAGCAGTAGTCAAGCTACTTATGCTGAAAAGCCTTGTTGGGTCAAATTAGCTTTTGAATTTCCTGTCTTTTTCGGCTTCAGAAAAAAGCTAATATTTCACTAAAAACACAGTTTTTTTGTATTAATAGATATATAGAAGAAAAAACATGTCACAGCAGGCATGCAATAGGAGACAATTTAGCAATGTGTCTGATGGAATGATTTTTTAAAAATATTATTTTGTAATCTTACCAAATTTTCTCCCCAATTGGTAGGTACGATCTTGTCTCATCGCTGCAACTTCCCAACGGGCTCGGGGGAGGCAAAGGTCGAGATATGTGTCCTCTGAAACATGACCCCCCAAGCCACGCTGCTTCTTAACACACTGCTCGCTTAACCTGGAAGCCAGCCGCACCAATGTGTCGGAGGAAACATTGTTCGACTGACGACAGCTTGCAGGCGCCCGGCCCGCCACAAGCAGTCGCTAGAGCGCGATGAGTCAAGGAAAGCCCTCTGGCCAAACCCTCCCCTAACCCGGACGGCGCTGGGCCAATTGTGCGCCGCCCTATGCGGCTCCCAGTCACGGCTGGCTGTGATACAGCCTGGGATCGAACCCCAGGGGTTGCAGTGGTCTCTGCGGCCTCATCATGACCGCAATAACCCCGGTGACACTGGGATTAGAAAACACTAGCAACAGCTTTCCTGCCTGTTTCCCGTGGAGTCCATGAGATGTGACCTAGCATATACATTATGGGCCGTACGTATAAAGCGACAGAGTAGAAGTGCTGATCTAGAATCAGGTACCCCCTTTCCATGTGATCTTGTTCATTATTATCCAAAAACTAAAACTGATCTTAGATCAGTAATCATACTCTGATATGCTCCAGGAATACGGACCCAGAACCTTCTCTGTGGTACATAATCTTTATGTGCCAGGCAAAATTGTTGCCCCAACACAAAAAGCTGGGCATGTCTGGTGTATTATAATGCACTGTATGTGTCAAGTGGAACAGTGTTTACACATACCAACTGAAATGCCAGAGACAAAACAGTTGATTTGTGATCCTGTAGCTATCTATGTCAGGCATGGTATTTTCAAATGTCAAGCTGTACAATTGGCTTAATGTGTGGGGAAATCCGAGATTCTGTGTAGAATTCCTATGAATATTGCTTATTGTCCATTTCCCCTTCACTTTAACCCTTACCGCCCGACCTCATTCATAACACTTAATTATTCTACCCTTTCAAGTTTGCATACAGTACATTAGCCCTATCTGTATCAACCCTCCAAACTCCAACTTTTATCTGCTTGTTCTGATATACATTGTCATTGACAGGTAGAAAGCGACATGAGTGATGGGCGATGTGGGTGATATGTGTAACATGGGCAATATAGGAGATATGAACGGTGTGGACGATATAGGCGATATATAAGCGATATCTGCGATATAGATGATACAGATTATTATAGACGATAAGGACAATATGCGTTACCCATGGGTGTTCCTACTCCGTAGGCCTTGGAGTCGATGAGGCCCCCTATCTGGGTAAGGTTGCAGTTGCGCTGGGTGACAAACTCAATGGTGGTGGACTCCATGAGGAAAGCGTAGTCGGAGGTGAGCACGCGCTGGATGCCCGCGTCTATGTTTTTCACAATCACAGACGTTCTCCGGCTGTTCATGAACTCCCACATCTTGTCGTAGGTAGAGATCTTCGTCTTCTGTCAAACCACCAGAGGAAGAAAAGAAAGAGAGGTTAAAGAAATCCACTTCTTCTAATAATAATTGATTGGGTTCATATACCACTGGCCTTTTCCAGTATCAATCAATCAATAAAATTGGTTTATAAAGCCCTATTTACATCAGCAGATGTCACAAAGTGCTTATACAGAAACCCAGCCTAAAACCCAAAAGAGCAAGCAATGCAGATGTAGAAGCACGGTGGCTAGGAAATACTCCCTAGAAAGGCAGGAACCTAGGAAGAAACCTAGAGAGGAACCAGGCTCAGAGGGGTGACCAGTCCTCTTTCGGCTGTGTCCGGTAGAGATTATAAGAGCACATGGCCAATACTTTTTTAGTACCTTGAACTGAGGGGTTTATTATATTTTCTTGCTGGCTTTCCCTACAGCAGATAGTTATTTGAGGGATACCCACAACCACAACACCGCAGAAGACCACTTGTCACAGTTAGCCCAATGGTTAGCCCAGCTAGCTACCTTGAAAAAGGTCATGGTAGATCCGTCCTCCACCACTCCGTACAGGATCTTGGTCTGTTTGGCCAGGTCATCGGCCGAGTCGATGGGTGACTCCATGCGCTCCACGGTGAGGAAGGCAGCCAGGTTGGCCGTGTAGGAGGAGATGATAATGAGGGTGAAGAACCACCAGATGCCCCCCACGATCCGGGTGGACAGGGCCTTAGGCATGAGCTCTGAGCCTGGGTAAGGAGGGGATGATAGGGGTGTAGGGAGTGGAGACACATTTAAAGACTTCCATAAGTTGCAGCAAGGGTGTATGGAGAAGGTGTCTACATAGGCAACATCCACAAAGGACTTAGTGAGGGGGTTATATTGTGCTCTGTGGATCATCCGGTGGTAGCCTGATTGGGTCTGGAATCCAGGCCCCTGGGACTGTCCGTCCAATAGTAAGAAAGGTTGCTAGGTGTTGTACTTAAGCCGCTCCATTATGTATTGGGAGTTGGACAGTAGGGGATTGATTTCACGGACCTAGATTAAGCCTACTCCTCAACTAAAAAGCATGTCGAATGGAGAATATCCATTGACAGATCATTTTAGTCCTTAAGTAGGCTTCATCTGGGTCCAGGAAACTGGTCCTAAAGGTTTACTCATTTAACTTACCGCCCGTCAACACAAATCAGTCACTTCTTTAAAGTTACATGTTTACATTTCACAATGAAGACTTTAGTGGAAACTGAAAACCTGGTTGGGTCTGACTGTCATGTACCCAAGGTAACCTCACATCCTGACCCCACGTCCCACTACTCTCTGGACGCTGATTTGTTGCGGGTAATGGGAGAGGACTCTGGGTAGTGGCACCTGACACCAACCTGTTCTTGTTCAATAAGTGCAGCATGGCTAGTTGGTAAGAGATAAGTCATAGCTATAGGCTAGTTCACTGGTTCTTTATTCTCCTTTTCACACTATCATGCTCACTCAAACATGCTTTGATATTTTCCTTTCACGTTGTCCTTTTCAGCATTGTTCCAACTATGGTGGATGCGTAACCAGGCCAGCACAGACTCTGCTCAGTCGTGTGAAAAGGGTATCTGTTACACTGAGACCATTACCATTAAAAATATATATATATATATACTGGGGGAGGGTTGCAAGGCGACCCCATTTAATCTATATATAGTAACTTAATTTCTCTGCAATTATCTTTCAAGAATAGAGGAACCAATCTAAATGTAAATGGCTGTTAAAGTAGCTACTCAAATGTACTACTCCGATGAGGACTATAACTTTTATGTTCATTCAGTTGCAATAAAACTAAAGGAAACACCTTCACTGTAATGCTAACTTCTGGCCACGTAGCACAAAATATACAAAATAATAATAATTTGAAATAATATACACTGAACAAATATTTAAACGCAACATGCAAAGAGTTCAAAGATTTAACTGAGTTACAGTTAATATAAGGAAATCAGTCAATTTAAATACATTCATTAGGCCCTAATCTATGGATTTTAAATGACTAGGAATACAGATATTAATCTGTTGGTCACAGATACCTTTAAAAAAAAAGTAGGGGTGTGGATCAGAAAACCAGTCAGTATCTGGTGTGACCACCATTTGCCTCATGCAGTGTGACACATCTCCTTCACATAGAGTTGATCAGGCTGTTGATTGTGGCCTGTGGAATGTTGTCCCACTCCTCTTCAATGGCTGTGCGAAGTTGCTGGATATTGGCGGGAACTGGAACATGCTGTTGTACATGTCGATCCAGAGCAACCCAAACATGCTCAATGGGTGAAATGTCTGGTGAGTATGTAGGCCCTGAAAGAACTGGGACATTTTCAGTTTTCAGGAATTTTGTACAGATCCTTGCGACATGGGGCCATGCATTTTCATGCTGAAACATGAGGTGATGGCGGTGGATGAATGGCACGACAATGGGCCTCAGGATCTCATCACGGTATCTCTGTGCATTCAAATTGCAATTGATAAAATGCAATTGTGTTCGTTGTCTGTAGTTTATGCCTGCACATACCATAACCCCACCGCTACCATGGGGCACTCTGTTCACAACGTTGACATCAGCAAACCGCTCGCCCACACAACGCCATACGCCAACGTCTGTCATCTGCCCGGTACAGTTGAAACCGGAATTCATCCGTGAAGAGCACACATCTCCAGCGTGCCAGTGGCCATCAAAGGTGAGCATTTGCCCACTGGTGAGCACGACGAGCACACAGATGAGCTTCTCTGAGACGGTTTCTGACAGCTTGTGCAGAAATTCTATGGTTTTGCACACCCACAGTTTCATCAGCTGTCCGGGTGGCTGGTCTCAGAAGATCCCGCAGGTGAAGAAGCCGGATGTGGAGGTCCTGGGCTGGCATGGTTACACGTGGTCTGCGGTTGTGAGGCCGGTTGGACGTACTGCCAAATGTTCTACAACGATGTTGGAGGCGGCTTATAGTAGAGAAAGGAAAATTAAATCTGGCAACATCTCTGGTGGACATTCCTGCAGTCAGTATGCCAATTGCATGCTCCCTCAAAACTTGAGACATCTGTCGCATTTTGCTGTGTAACAAAACTGCACATTTTAGAGTGGCCTTTTATTGTAATGATCATGCTGTTTAATCAGCTTCTTGATATGCCACAACTGTCAGGTGGATGGATGATCTTGGCAAAGGAGAAATGCTCACTAACAGGGATATAAACAAATTTGTGCACAACATTTGAGAGAAATAAGATTTTTGTGCATATGGAACATTTCTGGGATATTTTATTTCAGCTCATGAAACATAGGACCAACACTTTACATGTTGTGTTAATTTTTTTGTTCAGTATATTTTCCTCTCCAGCTTGCGTCTCTGTTCTTTAATTTCGATCAGAAAACGATGTAGCAACATTATTCTTGTTCCCACTTTAAACCAACTACAACTTTTAACGCTAAATTATGCCTTCATAAACCCTTTATAAGCCCTGTGTAGTTGCTTCATAACTATTTTTCTTTCCACCTAGCAGCACACACCCAGAGGCCCCTGTGTCGCCCGGAGCCTGGCCTAAAACCTTGGACCCCAGAGAGAGTGGGATGCGGAGATAGCCACAGCACCAGCAGGCTGAGGCAACTACCTTGCTGCATGAGTGCCCCGACGCCGAACCAGAAACTATTGAGCAGTGTAAAATTGTTTTCCATCACGTCCGAGTCCGGGTTGCACGGATGGGGGTTGTACCACTCGTACGGGCTAAACCTGTGGTGGAGAGAGCACACAGACACTAAGATCAGTCAAACAGAATAACATTCATGGCTGGGATGGTCTAGTTGTTAGTGCCTACAGCACACATCTGCCGGTGTCAGCATGGGTACAAATCCGGCCGACTTCTTTTGACACACACCCCATCTCCTCGACAATCTCTCCTCTGTCCAATAGAACACATACAATACCTTTACATTAAAAAACAAACAACATTCGAGCTTCCCTAAACAGACAAAAACATGATGTGCAAATCGTGTTATTGTAAGGTGGCAAAAACAATAGAAGCTCCTATGATCCTCTACTATGCCCTTTGGGTCCCTTGCTCCTCTCGAGACCAAACACAAATCATTTACCCTTTCACCCAACATATTGACGTATTCAAATGCCTTCAGTTTGTTGTGAGAGGCCCAATCGATGGAGTGGGATAACCCTGTCACTGGAGATAACGTCCCCATCCCTGTTCATCTTTGGAACTAATTGAGATTTATCAACTGGAAGATCGTTTCTGATTCCCCCCTGGTGGTTTGAAGCCCCATCACCCCTCCACAATTCAGCCAACCTGTCTTCTTCCATCCATAGTCTTCCTTGCACACGTCTAATCCTCCTCCCACTCCATTGCCTGACTCACTTTCTCATTTTTTCCTCCCCATCACTCCCTCCCTCCCTCCCTGCTTCTCTGCCCTCTAAGGGCGACCAGGGATATTCCTAATTTATTATGTAAATGAGAGTGGAGTCACATTAGCAGTAAGCGATTGGGTTAGTATTAAGCATCAGAACCTGGGCCCAGATTCACAAAACACTTCTTAAGATGGTTGTTGGTAGGCAACCGCTTTAGCTAGCTATCTAGCTAGCAATGGCAATCATGTTAGCATATTTCTTACTAAGATTACTGTTCTAAAACATGTTCTTGGGTTTAAAATAATCAATACTGAAACTTTCAGATGAAGTTTGTGAGTGAATTAAACATGTTTAATTGCTTTCATGAGCTTTTTCTCTCACTGCCCTGAGTTTAAGACAAGGGTTAAGCTATCTTGGAATTAAGAACATTTCCAATAACTTTATTTTCAACATTCTAATTTCTTCTGAACTTTTTGCTTAAGGAGAAACATAAGTAATAGCGCAATAACATTTCCAGTAACCTTTTTGAGGAATAGCAACTTTGCTTAACTTTCTTCTTAAATCTATTGTTAAGGAAAAAATGGCAGTTAAGAAGAAATGTCTTCTTAAGAAGGTTTTGTGAATCTAGGCCCTGATTGAGTTTGTTCTAGATAAGTGGAAGAGTGGAGGGAAGAGGAGAGCACCCAGCTCATATTTGTATAATTTTTTGTATTGTTTTGTATTTGTATTCTTCAGGTTAGTATTCTTCAGGAACCTGTGCTTTAACTTGGCATATGTGAATAGGGTGGCAATCGTCACCTACACAACATCAAATATACAGAGAGCTATAGAGACACCCATGGGCTGGGGCTTTGAAAAAAATATCAGGGCTTTGTTCCAATCTCCATACTATCACTATGTCACGTATACTCCCTCTCTGGCCTCTAGGTCACCAGGCTGCTCTATATTACGCACACCTGTCACCATCGTTACGTGCTCCAGCTCCTCATCAGACTCACCTGGACTCCATCACCTTCCTGATTACTTCCCCTATATTTGTCACCCTCTTTGGTTCCTTCCCTAGGCGTTATTGATTCTGTTACTCTGTTCCTGGCTGTGCGCTACTCTTGTTTTTTTCCATGTTTTATTTATCATTAAATGCACTCACTACTTGCTTCCTGACTCCCGGCGTACATTGTAACACACTATAATTAATGTACTCTAAGTGGTATGGACATTGGAACACAGCCCAGGTTTAATGTCCTGCTCATTGTTTCAGAATAAATTCCTAGTAGTTACTGATGTTTGACATTGATATATACTAGGCTACTCACATGAATAGGATCAGGGAAGTAAGGGAGGGTAAATGCATGTAAATAACGTTTACACACATTTTTATTTAGAAAATAGTTTTTTACGCACCTATTACGCCAAGTTAGCGTAGTTTGGATAAGCGTTGTTGAGCATTTACCAACCTTTGTGTTTACCATTACATCCCTGATTAGCATACATTGTAAACTGTAATCAGAAAAACTTTGCTTAGTGTTTATGGTTTGCTGTATAAAGAAACGTTTATTCCACAAACATGATGAATTGCGGGCCATTTATGGACTATTTATTTAAAAACCAGTTTGGTATGCGGATCATCCCAAACTGTACTCTATTCCCTATATAGTGCACCACTTTTGACCAGAGCCCTATGGTCAAAAGTAGTGCACTATATAGGGAATAGGGTGCCATTTGGGATGTGTATCATTTAGCCTTCGCTTTACTGCTGCTCTATATACAGTCTACATGGCATTCATTTCTGTGGACACGGCTGTGATGACACGCTATAATTCTTCCTCAGCCCCATCGGGCCGCCTGATTGACCGGAATCTCAATGAGCTCCGTCTACTTGTAAACGCCAGAGACCGTGCGCCGCTCAATGTCCCCTGTGGCGCGGTGTGCTATGTGACATTGTGTGACAGTTTGAAACTGTGTGCGTGTGAAAGGAAGCGATTGTGTGTGTGAGGTTTCTCTGTGTGACCTTTTGGTCTGCGTTCCACCCCTGTATTTCTCTGGGTCTTGTTCTGCACACTGATTGCTACAGGAGAGAAGTGTCCAACAGGGGAATGTAAGGTCACCCTGTGCAGGCAAACACACATGCACGCGCGCACACACACAGCACAGACAGGGGACATGCAAAATTCCACACAGAATAACAAAAGGATTCCTCCGCCTCTTCTCCTCCTCTTTCTCATCCTCCTCTCCTATCCAGGGTCACAATAACCCAAAAGGCACCCTCCTATCATCTGTCTGCTGGATTCAATTACTCTAGCCAGCTTTATAGATCTGTTTCTTTTCTTGTCTCAGGGCATCTGAGGAGAGGTGTGTGTGAGAGAGAGATAGAGATGACAGGAGCCTTATTGTGAATGTCACATGCATCGTCCAAGTTTACTGAGATATCTTTTGTGACTTAATACGCGTGTGTTCTATGATTGAGGACACCCTCTGAGTGAATAAAGAAAGAGCAAAGAATTAACTAAATTTTGTAGGAAACAGCTTAGAAATGAGAGAAAAATACAATTCTGTCGATTGTAGGAAAATACTTCCTTTTAGCCCTTCAGATGTGGGTCGAATTAGCTTTTAAATCCTTAGAGATCTGAAGTTTTACTGCTTTACTACTGAGATATCTCCATCTATGGCTGCACTACCGGCTCTATTTGGAGGGGATTAACCTCTTAAGGATCGGACCCTATCTTTCCCAATTTTTTGCATACCCAAATCTAACTGACTGTAGCTCAGGACCTGAAGCAAGGATATGCATATTCTTGATACCATTTGAAAGGAAAATGCTTTGAAGTTTGTGGAAATGTGAAATGAATGTAGGAGAAAATAACACATTAGATCTGGTAAAAGATAATACAAACAAAAAAACAAGTGTTTTCTATATATTTGTTTTGTTCCATCATCTTTGAAATGTAAGAGAAAGGCCACAATTTAAAATTGCAGTTTAGGCGCACTTTAGATTTTGGCCACTAGATGGCAGCAGTGGATGTGCAAAGTTTCAGATTGATCCAGTGAAGCGTTGCAATACTAGACTATTTTGAATAAAGTCTGCCCAAATGTGCCAAATTGGTCAATTGATACATTTTCAAGTTACATAACTATAGAGAACATATACAAATGATATGGTAATACAAAATGTAAGTTTACACACTCCCAGGAATGTCATACATGATAGTTCATTAGCTTATACACTAACTTTCACACATCTAGGTGGCCGGATGGGGTGGGTATGGAGCCAGAGACAGCAGGGGTTCAAACTGTAGAACCCAGTTCCTACATTAGAAAATAAAAATGGATTTTATCATACAAAACTATGCTCCATTTTTATCTCTGGGACCCTTAGGATGACAAATCAGAGAAAGATTACTGAATATAAGTACATTATTTACCTTCAGAGGTGAATGTATCAAACCAGTTGCCGTGATACGTTTTTTGTTGTTGTGCACTCTCCTCAAACAATAGCATGGTATTTTTTCGCTGTAATAGCTACTGTAAATTGGACAGTGCAGTTAGATTGACAAGAAGTTAAGCTTTCTGCCCATATAAGACATGTCTATGTCCTGGAAAGTTTGCGGTTACTTACAACAGTCATGCTAATCACATTAGCGCACGTTAGCTCAACCATCCCGTATACGGGACACCGATCCCGTAGAGGTTAAAGAAAACAATATCCTTGACATATAGGGACTTAACCAATCAATCTGTTTGTTGAGTGGTCAATACTACAATTATGAGAGAGCTCAGCAAGTTGACGCCTGGACAGAAATCAGCACATCAGGCTTAGAGGTATTGCACATCCACACCCATATGGAGGAGAGAGAGGAAGAGTTATCTGATAAAGAAGACTATAGTATAGGCAATATTGGTGTGATTTACCGGGTTCAAACCCAGGTTCCCTGAATTTCCATAGCACTAGTATAGCCTACTGAGCTAAAGCCTCCAAGACCAAGTCTTCAGGTTTCAAGCAAGGTTATTCATCACTTATTATTATTATATTACTAGAGTGTGGTTAACTGAACCATTTCCGTTATGTTGGCACAGAGTTCTGTTGTGGATCTGTTATAATAAGCACACTTTCATACACACATAATGTTGACACACAAACATGCTTGCACTCAGACAATGTTGCAGCTATATCTGGGTTCATTTTACTGTGTAAACGTAAGACCATGTAAAGGCTACATTGAAAATATAGAGAAACTTACCCAACATACCTTCAATAAAGATGACAATAAAACAAGTGCATATTCTGAACCAACTTAGGTGACAGTTGTTGCCTTCCTTTCAGGTGATCAAAAGGCCAGTAACATTTGGAAAAAGTATATTAACCACAAAACTCTTGGGGTCAAACCAAAGAACACTCAACAGCTGGCACCCCAGAGTTCTGGGGTTAATGAACACTTTTCTACATAGGATTAGTAAAGGCTTCAGGGGAATTCTACTAACTAGCGGGCAACATTGGGCATGGGATGTCATAATGGCGTCATATTGTTGTTGTAAACTGGTTTTCTGGATCAGATTACAACCATTTAAAGACGTATTTTTCTGGTTGCGAAAAATACATCTTTAAATGGTTGTAATCTGATCCAGAAAACCAGTTAGCTATATAGCTATATAAACATACTGTACTCAGCTCCTAACGCTGAACAAACCAATATACAACCAAAGGCCAGACAAGGCCATAGGATACTTATACAGTTTCCCTCAGTCTGAGGGCATGTCCACAGTACTTAACATAAGAAATCTTTACATGAGCTTAAGGGCATATACACTGCCTCAGTCAGCCGGACTTCATTCACACACTGTCAAAGCTTTCCTGTGGGGCATAGTGTTTGTTTCACAGGTAGAATAACTTCACACTCTGGGCTTGTACTAGTATCGTAAGAGGGAGAGAAAAGCCACTGTCTGGTTTGTGAAAGTGAGCGGTGAGGGATGGCATGTTACCTGGCTATGACAAACAGCACACAACTGACACCCAAGTAAGCCAGAAGAATATACATCCAGATATCGGGTGAGAGGGGGTTGAGGAAGGAGAAGACGCCCGGGTTGGTTCCGTTGGGCTTGCGGTAGAGGATACTTATCCCCAGGGTCATGAAGGGCTTAGAGAAGTCGATGACCTTCTCCCTCACATAGGTAATGGCCAAGGGAGCCACCACTAGGTCTGCTTTCTGTGGACAGAGATGGGGTAAGGAGTCGGAGTCCACCAATCAGAGGCTGTGGAATCACATCAGAACTAATCAAATTAGGACATTGGGAGGTGGGTATAGTCCACCAATTAGAGGCTGTGGTATCACATGGGCTCCCGAGTGGCGCAGCGGTCTAAGGCACTGCATCTCAGTGATTGAGGCGTCACTACAGACCCCCTGGTTCGATTCCAGGCTGTATCACAACCGGCTGTGATTGGGAGTCCCATAGGGCGGCGCACAATTGGCCCAGCATCGTCCGGGTTTGGCCGGTGTAGGCCGTCATTGTAAATAAGAATTTGACCGAAATAAAATTAAAACCAATATAATTAGGACATAGATTGGGGAGTGGAGCTAGTCCACCAATCAGGGCTGTAGTATCACATGAGAAACTATCAGATATAATTTAGGATCACCTCTCTGTCAACACTTTGACCAGTCACTGAGAATGTGAGGAAGATCCAAGAAGGACAAGGGAAAATTATAAACCGTGTAGTTTGGGTCCTGGATGCTGGTATGATGCATAAATACTTGTTTACTGTTCTATTTATGTTGGTAACCAGTATATAATAGCAATAAGGGGGTTTGTGGTATATGGCCAATATACTGTACCACCGCTAAGGCCTGTATCCAGGCACTTCACTTCGCGTCGTGCCTAAGAACAGCCCTTAGCCGTGGTATATTGGCCAATATACCTCACCCCCCCGGGCCTTATTGCTTAAATATATAACTTGTTCTCAATGACTTACCTTGCTAAATAAAAGTGCTATGTAAGAAATCTGCAAGAGTTGGTGGGAACTGGGAAGTGAAAGGACTAAAAAGCATCCTTATTATAATTGGTGCACTATAGACACAAACAGACCCTATAAAGTCAAAACCTCTGAACCTATTCAAAGACCATGCTCCATTGTATCCATTATCCGCCAAACCGTATGCTCATCACCACGGCAACCCACCAATAACCACCACGGTAACCATGACAACAGTCCACTCCTCCACTCCACTACTCACGTGGTCCATGAGCTCCCTGACCATGCCATTCCACTGGCCCGTGCTCTCCTCCAGAGCCCCATACTTGCCGTCCTCCACCAGGCGCACCTAATAATAATAATAACAGTGATATTAATTATAAAAGTAACAACTACAACAGGAATAATAATAATATATGCCATTCAGCAGACACTTGTCGTAGTACGTGCATTCATTTTCATACTGGCCCCCCATGGAGATCAAACCCACAACCCTGGCATTGCAAGCCCCATGCTCTACCAACTGAGCCATATGGAAAGCCACTCACCTCATAGCGGAAGCCCAGGATCCCCGAGAGCTCGCGGAGCAGGTCGATGCAATAGCCCTCGAAGCGGTCGTTTCCGTACAGCGGCTTGTCGGACTTCTTGAACATCACATAGGGCTCCACCTGTTAAGGAAAGATGGGGGTGGGAGGGATGGGGAGAGGTAGAGGGAAGGAGGGAGGATGAAGAAAGGAGGGAGAGGGAGGTAAAGGGGGAGAGAGGTAGAGAGGGACAGGTAGAAAGGAGGAAGAGGCAAATGGAGGGGGTAAGAGTAGAGAGAGGGATGAGAAAAGACCAAGGAGTGATGGAGGGAGAAGAAGAAAGGAGGGAGAGGCAAATTAAGGGGATAAAGACAAAGGGAGGCGGTAGGATGCGAGAGAGAGGTAGAGATAGGGATGAGAAAAGACAGAGATGATAAAGCAGAGCAGGACGGCAACAAAGAGTGGCAAAAAAAGGACAAGAAAGAGAATGATGATAAAAGAGAGCAGAGAGAAACATACATCATACTCCAGCTATGGGGTAGCCTAGCGGTTAAAGTGGAACTGACATCTGTTCATATACAGCGCATTCGGAAAGTATTCAGACCCCTTCCCTTTTCCACATTTTGTTACGTTACAGCCTTATTCTGAAATTGATTAAATAAAGAAAACATTCTCATCAATCTACACACAATACCCCATACTGACAAAGCAAAAACATTGTTGTTTTTCTATGAAAAAACTATTATAAAAAAGATACCTTATTTACATATGTATTCAGACCCTTTGCTATGAGACTTGAAACTGAGCTCAGGTGCATCCTGTTTCCATTGATCCTCCTTGAGCTCTTTCTACAACTTAATTGGAGTCCACCTGTGGTAAATTCAATTGATTGGACATGATTTGGAAAGGCACACACCTGTCTATATAAGGTCCCACAGTTGACAGTGCATGTCAGAGCATGAAACCAAGCCATGAGGTCGAAGGAATTGTCTGTAGAGCTCCGAGACAGGATTGTGTCGAAGCACAGATCTGGGGAAGGGTACCAATTCTGCAGCATTGAAGGTCCCCAAGAACACAGTGGAATCTTCATTTTTAAAAGGAAGAGGTTTGGAACCACCAAGACTCTTCCTAGAGCTGGCCACCCGGCCAAACTTTGCTATCGGGGGAGAAGGGTCTTGGTCAGGGAGGTGACCAAGAACCCAATGGTCACTCTGACAGAGCTCCAGAGTTCCTCTGTGGTGATGGGAGAACCTTCCAGAAGGACAACCATCTCTGCAGCACTCTACCAATCAGGCATTTATGGTAGAGTGGCCAGACGGAAGCCATTCCTCAGTAAAAGGCACATGACAGCCCGCTTGGAGTTTGCCAAAAGACACCTAAAGGACTCTCAGAACATGAGAAACAAGATTCTCTTGTCTGATGAAACCAAGATTGAACTCTTTGGCCTGAATGCCAAGCGTCATTGTCACGATCGTCTAATGGAGAGGACCAAGGCGCAGCGTTGCGGGTGAACATATTATATTTATTCAACTGATCACACGATCAAAACAAAGAACGAAACGTGAAGTCCTTCGATACACAACCAAAAGGAACAAGAAACCACAAAACACAAAGTGCAAGACAAACAGTAAAATATGGCTCCCAATCAGAGACACCCAGCTGACACTCGTTGCCTCTGATTGGGAGTCACTCAGCCCAACATAGAAAATTAAACATAGACTTACACACCCTGGCTCAACATAACATAGTCCCCAGAGCCAGGGCGTGACAGTCATGTCTGGAGGAAATCTGTCACCATCCCTACGGCGAAGCATGGTGGTGGCAGCATCATGCTGTGGGGATGTTTTTCAGCGGCAGGCACTGGGAGACTAGTCAAGATCGAGGGAAAGATGAACGGAGCAAAGTAGAGAGAGATCCTTAAAGAAAACCTGCTCCATAGAACCTCAGACTGGGGTGAAGGTTCACCTCCCAACAGGACAACGACCCTAAGCACTCAGCCAAGAAAAAGCAGGAGTGGCTTCAGGACTAGTCTCTGAATGACCTTGAGTGGTCCAGCCAGAGCGCGGACTTGAACCCGATTAAACATCTCTGGAGAGACCTGAAAATAGCTGTGCAGCGACGCTCCCCATCCAACCTGACAGAGCTTGAGAGGATCTGCAGAGAAGAATGGGAGAAACTCCCCAAATACAGGTATGCCAAGCTTGTAGCGTTATACCCAAGAAGAGGCTGTAATCGCTGCCAAAGGTGCTTCGATAAAGTACTGAGTAAAGGGTCTGAATACTTATGTAAATGTGATATGTCAGTTTTTTATTTTTAATACATTTGCAAACATTTCTAAATACCTGTTTTTGTTTTGCATGATGGGTTATTGTGTGTAGATTGATGAGGGGGGAAAAAAACTATGTAATCAATTTTAGAACAAAATGTGTAAAAAGTCAAGTGGTCTGAATACTTTCCGAATGCACTGTACACCCTCAGGAAGAATATGATACCTTGTTTTTTACATTGTCTGATAAGCAAGCACTTAGTTATGGTCATTTTCACGTTTTCATACTTTCATAGAATGTTTGGGAATGACATAGAGTAAGGCATTTGTGAAGATTCTATAGCAATAGAGAGTGGGAAAGCAGTTGTGCGTGTGGAGAATTTATAGACACTGCAGTAAATAAAACGTAAGAAAAACATATCAGTCTTGTCCAGGACTGGACTGTACACAGACCAGTGCGCCATAGCCAATCAGAGCTACAGTAGGCCTATATGCAAATAGGCCATTTGCCACACGGGCCTGCCATCATTCACTTTGAACTGGACTTTGTGTTTACAGGAAGTAAGAATAGTGCAACTTAGATCATTAGAAAGCATTCACAAAAAGCCACAAAATACACCAGAATCAATTTCTGCAAATATGTAAATACCACGGGAGTTCTCTTACATTTGTTAACTTTACAGTCCTATTGATCAAACAACTATGAACAGGTAGGCTATCGCTCCCTCAGTTGCTGATGCACATCAACAACAATAAGATAAACAACTAATGTTAGCCAGAACGAGATGAGCAAAAATCTGACGAGGGAACAGTAGATAAAACCTCAAACTTTTTCAGCTTGTAGTTGGCCGTTAAAATTGCACCAAAAAATTACGGAGAATAGCCTGCTCACCCTTCTGCAACTTTCCTGCCAATGCATGGTTGTCCCAACCCACGTTTTGACAAGTGAATGGGAACTTGCCTGCCTGCCCTCCCATTTGATCAATGCCAAAAACATTTGATTGACAACTAAGAGATATGCTAATTGTGGATAACAGTCGTTAAAGTTCAGCACAGCTAACTAGCAAAGTGATTCACTTTTCTTGCTAGCTAACCAAATGACACAAGCATCTCTAGTTGTAGCCACTGAAAAGCGATATGGTGGTAAAAAGTTTTCGTCCAAAATATTGAGTCCTTGAAGCTGAAACAGTGCATCCCGAATGGCTGGAGGCAGCAAACAATGTACCAGGCTAGCTGTGATTTACAACCTGATAGCAATATTTGTTGGACTACCAAGAAATGTATTGGTGAATTATATTAATTATCCATTGAACTGCATCCATCTATTCTGGCAGCAATGCCTTACTCTACGTCATCGATTTTTTTGTCAAATAGAACCTATTTTTAAAACCTCTTATGAAGTTGGTTTTGTAGCATAAACTGGGACTTTTAGATTATTATTGTCTGTTTGTTTCATATCTTCAAAATAGTTAAAACGCTGTCAGTTCCACTTTAAAAGCATTGGGCCAGTAACCGAAAGGTTGTTGGTTCGAATCCTCGAGCTGATTAGGTGAAAAATGTGTCAATGTGCCCCTGAGCAAGGCACTTAACCCTAATTGCTCCTGTAAGTCGATCTGGATAAAAGGGTCTGTTAATGACTAAAATGTAAAATGTCTATGTATGTTCAAGAGTATGCTAGACTATGAAGTCCTATCCTTGAATTCTCTGCCACCCTAGGTAATTCAAGCTAGCAATAAAACCAGATTAAAAAACCAGATTAAAAAACACCTTACGGCATAACGGGGACTGTAAAGAGACACACAGACATTTTTATATATTTTGCATTGTATTATATATTGTATTATTTAGTGTTATGTACAGTATATTATGTATTTTATGTATTCTATTTGTTGTGTTTGGTTTCCTGTTTGGACCCCAGGAAGAGCCTTGGCAGTAGCTAATTTGGGATCCTAATAAAATACTAAATCCTAAAATTAATAGTACTGAATGTAGTGTCCACCCACTCTGCCAGAGTGGGTCAAAACTCGCTTTGGTGATGAAATTTCACTTCTTTATGTTATGAAATACATTTTACCAAGACAAATAATATTCTTCATGTTCTGAATTGTTCAGTGGGGTCTTTCTCTAACATAGGATTAACATTATATCCAAAAAGTCGGATTTCGTAACCTAATACATCCGATAATAGGCACCGAGCTCTGTTGACAGAGTGGTGCCGCTTTCTCGCAACGACTTTAACATTTTACATGTTGTGGTGGTTGTCTGCAAAGTTGTTTCCGTGGGTCGCAAAAAGCTAAATTAGCATGACACGAGCTGAGTTAAATGTAAAAGGCTTTGAAAATAAAAAGCTTGCAGTATGCTCTGTGCTTATTTGACATTACACAGAGATACGCTTGTTTTTGTGAGACGTCTTCTAAAAAGAACAGGAATTTTGCATTAAGAAAAGCATATACTAAAATATGTCTCAAAATCGATATCTATCTTACTTCAATATTGTTTTATGTCCTCTGGATTCGAGAAGAAAGATGACGAGTTCAATGGTGAGCTTGTCAGTTAGCCTTAATTCTCGCACAGCATCCAGCCTAGCAGACGCAATGCTATTTTCCAGATTTTTGACAACTTTTTTTTCTCTGGCCTACATTGATTTAGTCACCCTCATTTTGGCCATTCTACAAGGGTAAAAACTTTTGAACAGATTATGATAGAGGCATGAGGTTTGGACCATTGGTTTTCTTAGAGGAGTATCTACACAATTAAAGGAAAGGTTCACCCATTTTGAATGTTATATTGTTTTTGTGCATCTCTGAGTGATGTTCTATCGATTCCCTGGGTCATTTCATGTTTTCACATGTATCTGAGTTATTGGCGTTCAAAATGGCAGAAATCCGGCCCGTATGACATAGCACTGTGATAAAGTCCCTCTCACTACACTGGAAGTTAATAGGACTACGACTTTAGATCACGAAAATGTCCATCATACATGTCAGATTTCAATACTGGCCGATGTCATAACTCGGGAGGATGTCTTCTCTCGAATGAGCTATTTATCATATTTTTGCGATATTCCTACATCGAGAAATGTGTAATTTAACAGAGGGTTTAGCTAATTTTTCCTATTTGTCTAACTCTTTAGTCCAGGGTGCAATGCATGGTGCCGTTGAATGAAGGAACAACCCACCCAGCAAACTGTCAACCAATCGCGTTCACGTTGTCATGCTGTGTCACGCGGTTGCTAAACTAATCATCACGCAATCCCTTCTCAAAGTCAGTGTATATGTCGAGAACCGTGCCTATTTTCCTCGAAAGTATGTAATGTCACAATTCCAAAGCAATTCGATATTACAGATAGCAAGTTAATTATCTCACATCTCTGGAAAATATTTGTAATGTTGTACTTCTTGTTGATGAAATTCGTGCTAATGTTGGATTTTTGAGCTAGCGCCCAGTAGACTCCCATGCGCTACTTGTCCCAGAATCGCCCAGAATGCACTGTGCGGCCCATTAACGTAGCATGGGCAATGTTTCCCATCTCCTCAAAAGTATATCTGCCGTTGCGAATGTCAGACTCCACTCTGAGGAGATTGCAGACTCCTAAATTGATAGTGCAGTTTGTTTAGGCGATTTTACATCAACATTTATTGACAAAATGAAATATTTGTTCACAAAAAATATTGTTCTCACATATTAGTATTATTTAACACTCTATATTAAAGGAGTTAGTGGTTTTGGGTAGATTTTTCATTTAACATATTATTTTAACCATTGGTTAAAAGATGCGTTTTGATTGGACACCCTACTGAATGGGTTAAATCTCTCCTCTCAGTTGTCATGACTTCAGTGATCCTGCTGTGTGCATGTGTAGGGCAGCAGAAAGACAGAGAACACGCCAAATGTGTGTTTACCAGTATGGTGGAGACACGGAGGGATTTGTTATCCAGAGAGTCAGTGATGTTGGTCGTCTTGCTCTTGTGGTTCTCTGTCATGTTCAGGCCACTGGGAGGGTCCCATGTTCCAATCTGTTGGGGACACATATGATCCCCTCATATGATAAAATGGTACTGTATATTCATACATACACACAGACATGAGTTCAAAAATGTGAACACACGCACACACGCACGTGCTCAAGCACACACACACACACACACACACAGCAGTCTCCAGCACCTTACCAGTGTTAACATACAGTCGCTAGTGAAAGTCTACACACACCTTGCACAGTCTTCACATTTTGCTGCTTTAAAATATAATCTAAAAAGGGATTACATTGGATGTTTCCTACCAATCTACACAACCTACTCCACATTTTCAAAGTAAAAGACAAATTATAGAACATTTTCCAAATTAAAAATAATAATACATAAATTTTTTTTTTTTTACAGACGATCAACAACATTGCATTCACTCCATATCACTGGCCTGTATGGCAAAGTTAAAAGAAAGATGCCTGTGTTTGGTTACTACATGATTCCATATGTGTTATTTCATAGTTTTGATGTCTTCACCTATTATTCTACAAGGTAGAAAATTGTAAAATTAAAGAAAAACCCTTGAATGAATAGGTGTGTCCAAATGTTTGACTGGTACTGTATGTTGCTTAAGAGTTTTGCAATGTTGGCCAACTCTTTTTCAAAATGATTCACAGCTGTAATGGCTGCCAAAGGTGCTTCCAGCAAGTGTTAACTCTGGGGTGTGAAGACATGCACATCAAGACATTTTAGCTTTTTTTTTTTTATTAATTTGGAAAATGTTCTATAATTTTCAACATGTGGAGTAGGTTGTGTAGATCTGTTGGGGAAAACATCTAACTTAATCCCTTTTTAGATGTAATTTTAAGGCAGCAAATTTGAAGACTGTGCGAGGGGTGTGTAGACTTTCACTAGGCACAGTTGAAGTCGGAAGTTTACATACACTTAGGTTGGAATCATTAAAACTTGTTTTTCAACCAGTCCACAAATTTCTTGTTAACAAACTATAGTTTTGGCAAGTCGGTTAGGACATCTACTTTGTGCATGACACAAGTCATTTTCCCAACAATTGTTTACAGAGATTATTTCACTTATAATTCACTGTATCACAATTCCAGTGGGTCAGAAGTTTACATACACTAAGTTGACTGTGCCTTTAAACAGCTTGGACAATTCCAGAAAATGATGTCATGGCTTTAGAAGATTCTGATAGGCTAATTGACATCATTTGAGTCAATTGGAGGTGTACCTGTGGATGTATTTCAAGGCCTACCTTCAAACTCTGTGCCTCTTTGCTTGACATCATGGGAAAATCAAAAGAAATCAGCCAAGATGGAAAAAATGGTAGACCTCCACAAGTCTGGTCCATCCTTGGGAGCAATTTCCAAACGCCTGAAGGTACCACGTTCATCTGTACAAACAATAGTATGCAAGTATAAACACCTTGGGACCACGCAGCCGTCATACCGCTCAGGAAGGAGACGTGTTCTGTCTCCTAGAGATGAACGTACTTTGGTGCGAAAAGTGCAAATCAATCCCAGAACAATATCAAAGGACCTTGTGAAGATGCTGGAGGAAACAGGTAAAAAACTATCTATATCCACAGTAAAACTAGTCCTATATCGACATAACCTGAAAGGCCGCTCAGCAAGGAAGAAGCCACTGCTCCATAACCGCCATAAAAAAGCCAGACTGGTTTGCAACTGCACATGGGGACAAAGATCGTACTTTTTGGAGAAATGTCCTCTTGTCTGATGAAACAAAAATAGAACTGTTTGGCCATAATGACCATCGTTATGTTTGGAGGAAAAAGGGTGACGCTTGCAAGCCGAAGAACACCATCCCAACCATGAAGCACGGGGGTGGCAGCATCATGCTGTGGGGGTGCTTTGCTGCAGGAGGGTTTGGTGCACTTCCCAAAATAGATGGCATCATGAGGAAGGAAAATTATGTGGATATATTGAAGCAACATCTCAAGACATCAGTCAGGAAGTTAAAGCTTGGTTGCAAATGGGTCTTCCAAATGGACAATGACCCCAAGCATACTTCCAAAGTTGTGGCAAAATGGCTTAAGGACAACAAAGTCAAGGTATTGGAGTGGCCATCACAAAGCCCTGACCTCAATCTTATAGAACATTTGTGGGCAGAACTGAAAAAGCATGTGCGAGGAAGGAGGCCTACAAACCTGTCACGAAAACAGCCGAGGCTGCCCCTCCTCCTTGCTCGGGCAGGCTTCGGCGTTCGTCGTCACCGGAGTACTAGCTGCCACCGATCGATGTTTCTGTGTTACACTAGTCTTGTCTTTATTAATCACACCTGTTACCCATTATGCTTATTTGTGTCCCTATAATTACCTCTGTTTTCCCTCCTGAGTTTGTGCGTGATTGTCCGTTGTCTTACGTCGTTTGGTGAGCTGTTGTTCTGCTCTTCCCTGCGTGGAGGGTTTGTTATGGTTTACTTTTGTTTAGTAAATCCATTCATTTTCTCAGTTCTGTGTGCTGCGCCTGATTCCGTTTCACCACTTCACCCAGACGTTGACAAAACCTGACTCAGTTACACCAGCTCTGTCAGGAGGAATGGGCCAAAATTCTCCCAACTTATTGTGGGAAGCTTGTGGAAGGCTACCCGAAACGTTTGACCCAAGTTAAACAATTTAAAGGCAATGCTACCAAATACTAATTGAGTGTATGTAAACTTCTGACCCACTGGGAATGTGATGAAAGAATTGAAAGCTGAAATAAATAATTCTCGCTACTACTATTCTGATATTTCACATTCTTAAAATAAAGTGGTGATCCTAACTGACCTAAGACAGGGAATCTTTACTAGGATTAAATGTCAGGAATTGTGAAAAACTGAGTTTAAATGTATTTGGCTAAGGTGTATGTAAACTTCCGACTTCAACTGTATGTGTAAACAGCGAGTTCTGTAGTCAAAAATATAACATGAAATGATCCCAAGAAAATAACTGATGTCATTATATTCAAACAATATGAACCAACCAGAAATAATGCTGATAAGATACAAGGAAATAGAGTAAAGTATTATGTCATTATTCAAGAAACAAAATAAAGTACATTATGCAAAGAGTCAAATAATTGTACACAGTGTTGAAACTTCTTAATGAGTGACAACAGAACAAGACAATTTACAATTTTAGATGAAAAATCAAATACACAAAAAATGTTTTATACACTCAGTGTATATTATCGTATACAAATGTTTGCAAGGTTTTGAATGATTATGTTTTAGTCATATATTATTTATGTTTGGGCTTCTCGTGGTCAATTTACAGTCAACAAATTATTTGTAATTATGTTCCAGCCCCCTGACCATCCGCTCAAGAAAAAATGGGTTAATAAAAACTAGTTGATGATCCCTAGTCTAGAGTCACATCCACTGACCATATCTAGACAGAGACCAAATGACAAACCATGAAGAAATTCCTTGCACCCTCGCGACTTCGGTGGAAGGATCTCCAATCAATCCTGACAAGGCCAAAAAGAAATTCGTGCCTCGCTGGAAGCCACGTCTTCCACTGGTAATAAGTGTGAGGCTCGGATTCATTCCTTCAATTTAATACAGCTCTTCACAGAGCCCAGGAACGTGCGGCTCGGAGGCCAAACAGGTGATATACCTCGTTTCCTCCTTCAGGGACCAGTAGTTATAGTCATAACATTACGTTCCCTTTCAGTCAGTCATATTTGGTACAACAAGCCGACCCCAACAGATACTAAATGAAACGGCCCATGGCAGACCGCCCACACCTGACCCCGCCAGATGCGGCAGTCTGGGTATAGCGCACACGGCATGCTGCCTAGTGACTTTCCGTGCCGTAAGCATACTGTGGGCTACACTGTGAGCAGAGACATCCAAGCGATAAAACCTCACAAAAGTGTGTGGTGATGCCCAACTCGCCGCAGCACAAATATCTCCAACAGTCAACCCTTTAAACAACGCCCAAGAGGCTGCACGACCCTTTTTGGAGACCCTGTATACCGCCAGGTAACCCTTGCCCCTTGCTGCTATATGCCAGTGGGAGAGACGTTGATTAGAGAGCGGCCTTCCTTGAGCTGGATTTGCAAAACAGACAAAAAGCTGGTCACATAACTGGATATTCCGGATCCGTTCAATGTACATGCTTAAAGCTCACACCAGACACAGGGCATGTAACCTCTGTTGCTATTCAGAAGCAAAAGGAGGAGGCGAAAAGAGAAATAGCTAATGTAGAACATAGCCATGACTTTCGGGGCGAAGGCCACATTTGGACACAACGCCACCTTAGAGTCGCCCAGGGCGAACTGAGTACAGGAAGGGTGTATGGATAACGTGTGGAGGTACCCAACACCTTTAGCCAAGGCCAAAGCCATGAGTAGGGAGGTTTTGTAGGAGAGGATCTTCAGATCCAGAGGCTCAAAGGGAACCACACACAGTGCCTCCAAAACCAGCGTCAAGGCCCATGTAGGCGTGATAGGTTTACAGACCGGCCTGACACGACATACACCTTATAGGAACCGCACAACCAGGGGGTGGGCCCCCATGTGACTCCATCAATTCCCACATGACATGCTGAGATAGCCCGTCCCTGCTCAAAAAGCTCCTGTAGGAACATAAGGATGTCCCTCAAAGAGCACTGAAAAGAAACCTGCCCTTTATCTTGGCACCAGAGCTTAAACGCTTGCCACTTATATGCATACAGCCCTCTTGGGGAAGACGCCCAAGCGGACTGAATGGTAGAAATAACATTTGGAGGTTAACCTCTGGCCATCAGATTGGCCCTCTCAGGGGCCAAGCCCATAGGAACCAAATCTCCGGCGTGGGCCCCCGAAGGCATGTTGGGGACTGATTTAGGTGGCGAGATGCATCCAAGCGCGTGGCTAGCACCCAGCACTGGAACAGCCACATCAATAGCAGTCCCAGGGGAATGACCACTATCTTAGAAGCCATCATCCCCAGTAGGCGCAGGAGCTGGCGAAAATGTACTGCGCGCACATCGGAAATTGGGCCAAGCAGAG